CAGTTGTCATCTAACTGCATTAGCATTAATAATGGTGTTTTAGATACACTTACCTTCAAATTCAACAGACACTTTCCAGTGAAAATTCTGAAGGTGGCGACGGAGCTTGTGACTGCTGCAAGCTTTGAACCTCTCTTCAGGACATAATGGGCAGGACCTCTTGTCATCTAATAATTTAAATTAAACCAAAATAAGAAAAAAATACACAAAAACCCAATGTTTCAGTTTTGAAATAATGAAAAACAACTGCTTAAGGTTTTTTTGTCAATGTACAGAAGTAGTATTTGCATCTCAGCTCAACCACTTGCAATCAAATAATTAATAGCTCAAATATCTAAGAAACCTATCTGCTTTAAAAGCCATGGTTTAAGGTTTAGTTGAATTAGTGTTGAAATATCTGTGATCCAAAACAGAAGTAGAAATCTTTTATTTTTTTCATACGATTACGATAATAATCTAAGTTTACTATAAAAATAAGTAGCACATCATTGCCTACTCAACAGACACACTTTTCTTTGTTCCTTTCCATGCTTTCCATCTATTACAGATGAATTTGCTCCCAAGCCTCTGTGAAATTAATTCTACTGCATCTTCTTACTTGGATCTGACAAGGGTAGAACTGCAAGTATAACCCTAACTAAGTGAAATGATAATTTTGTTTTTTTTCCCTTAAAAATCTTTTATTTACTATTACTTTTGGTAATTTTTTACACATATTGCCTAGATCAGAGGTCCCCAACCTTTTGGGCACTAGGGACCGGTTCCGTGGAGAAAGGTTTTTCCGTGGACCGGAGGGTACGTGGTTTTGTGTACTGCCTGCATCTCGCGGATGGGGCTTTGCTTGTTTGTGCGGACTGGTTGCTGGCATGCCGCGGCCCGGTACTGGTCCACGGACCGGGGTTGAGGACCCCTGGCCTAGATAACTATAAGGGATGCATGACTCCTTATTTGGTTCCTATTTTAAGATCAGTAATAGTTTCCTCAGATGATCTCTGTTTTCTGCAGTTACCAAGCAAAGTACTTGTCCAAGAACTGAATGCCACAAGCATTGCATTTCAACCATTTGTTGTTTCTTCTGGAAATATTTTAAATACCTGCCAGTTGTTGGTCTTCATTCTTGGAATCAGAGGAAATTAGGCAGCCTTCCTGCAAATCAGCCAGTTTTTCTAAATCATCAAGGGTCCTCTGAATTGAAATATGTTTCTCTAAAATAAACAATTCAAATTACTTTTCAGCAAAGGCTGTGTATATGTGTGTGTGTGTGTGTGTATGCACTATACATAAATACTACTTAATTTCAATCTTTCAAAAGCTTTTAAAAAGTTTGGAGTTTTTGTGCACTGCATCTCTCAAGCAATCCTGTTTTTACAATGGCCCACGTATCATCTTGCCTATTATGTTATCATAACTATGTAATAGTACAAACAAATCCAAACGACTAAAAATTCATTAAAAACCTCATACTAAATTTCCACAACAGCTCATACATTGACAATATATTTATGTTAAAATAGTACATAGGCTTGTAACTGGAATCCCTTCCAACTTTATTATTATTATTATTATTATTATTATTATTATTACATTTGGGGATTATCTGACCAACTCCGTGTGTTTGGCTTGCAAGTTTGAATGGTCACTCAATGAGTGATTGTTAAATGAGGACCATTTTTAGTATCAAAAAATGTTCATGCCATTTGTAAATTCATACATGTTCATAGGTTGCATTGAAAGCAAAGAATTTCCTCCATGGAATTAGGCTTAAACTCTGATTTCTATCTTTAAAAAGTTTAACTATTTGGTTCAGTGATAAAGAATAAATAGTGTATTTTGCTTTTATGTATCTCTGGGCATAATTTGGAATACCTGGTGTTGAATATTTACTTAAGTGCATATACGTAATTGGGCAAAATCCCAGTGTATTCAATGGGTTTCCTTATTACTAACTGCATTGGGATTACATATCAAGTTTCACTGACTGCCTGGTAGCCCAGATTCCTCTCTAGAAATTTGGGGTAGTTTTATGATGCATAGAAGAATTCTATAGTGCTGAGTTTTGACAGTGGCTCTAGGGAATTGCATATATATTTTAATAAACTTAAACTGAATTTAGGAACCAATAAGTGTAGGTAATACATTCCTGGCTAACATAAGATTTTATTGCAACGGTATAACACAACTTCAAAAGTGATGAGCAGTGATAAGTGAGGTTTGATTTATAAATATTGGAAGAAATAAATATGAGCATGCCAAGAATTCACATATTTCCTTGAAGCTGTAATATCTTTCAACATAACAAATTAGAGGATGTACCTCAACTTATACTCTTTAACTATATGTCTTTACTAATTTTTAAAAGATAGATGGGCAGAATATTTCCTGTAAATCACCCCAAATAAAGCAAAGGTTTTCATATTATCCTTTCAAACCTTGTGGAGTTTTAGATGATGCATCTAGTAGATTACTGTTAAGATCTTCAATGGAATTTTGCTCTGATTTTTTCATTTTGGCATTTATATCTTCATTAATGATTTCTGTATCTTCTGTATTTCTGCTATCAGGTTCTTTGGGGACATCCATCCCATCTACAGAAAAAAAACAAGATTGTAAGGAAAAGCAATATATAATAATTAACTATAATATTTTCTCTTTAAATCTATTATAGTATTCTAATTAACATATTTGCAATGCAAAAAAGTATGAGATAAAAGATAAATTAGGCCTATTACAATCAACAGGATTTCAACATGGCATCACAAACAAGTCCCACAGAATTTTATGAACTACAGGCAGTTGCACAGTAATGCAATAGTGTGAACTATAATATCTTGCCACTTACCTAGACAAAAGAAATAAAGAAAATCTAAAGGATAAAAGAATTCAATGAACATATCACTGTATATATCCAGAAAAAAAAACAAGCAATTCTTTAGAAAAGTTTTTGCTTGGATAAGGAAGTCTTTTATTTCCTTGGACTATGGCAAGTTGGAATTTAGCTTGAAATCACAAATGACTTTGTGATTTCCCCCTTTTGACTACAGTATATGAAATGTGGAGTCCTTGATGCTCTGAGCTTGTTTTTTTTGCTTGCAGACATTTCAGCAAACAGATTCAGACAAATGCTCAACTTCAGAAATATAGTGAAAAGAGGAGGAATAGATAAGGCTTAACAAAGCTTTGTTTCCATGGTTCCAGATTTAGCTTCCATGTGCTGCATATCTCTCCTGAGTCAATTGACAAGTGACTGAAAAATAGCTGACATTGAACAAGGAGATTTCAATCTGGCACTGCTTGAACAATGAAGTACTAAGCTTCCCAAAGGAATTACTAATGCAGGATTTGTTTGCTTAGGGGCAGGATCTGTTTAAACAATAGAGTCGGTAACACCAAAGCTCTCCAGAAAGAAAGCATCAGACAGACCCACGATGCTCCTAGACTTAATGACTGCAGTTGAGGAACAGAAATGCAGGCAGCTGATGTTTGCTGGGCTTTGCCTAGGGGCATTCACTGCTAATGAGGCCAGATGGCCCTTGGATCTGATAAATAGTATTTGGCACTATCTGGATTCTCTTTTCGACAGAGAATCTATGCATGAAGAATACACCATACAATTCTACCAACGAGTTGCAATTTACCTATTCCATCCTTTAATGCAGTGGTTCTCAAACTGTGGGCCAGAAACCCCTGGGGGGGGGGCTGTGATGTTGTCACATGGGGTCCATAAAGGCTTGAAGAAATATTTAAATCTTGAGTTAAGTCTTGGGGGTTTGTGGCCATGGTCACAAAAGGTATTTAAAGGAGATTTCTGATGAAGAAAAGGTTGAGCCACTGTAAGGGGGGGGGGGGGAAATCTGGCAATAAGAAGAGTCTCCTGACACTTTCTTCCAACCTAAAGAGAAAGAATTTTTCTGCCAGAAACATGGGGAGCCACCTCTTTGCTCTCTTCCCGCCTGAAGAGGACGTCCTGTACACTGAAGCACATTAAATGCTAATGAAAGAAATGTGTTTTTTGCAACAACTAGTCCTCAGTCTAGGACAGTGTTTCTGAACCTTGACAATTTTAAGGCATGTGGACTTCAACTCCCAGAATTCCACAGCCAGCAATGCTGGCTGTGGAATTCTGGGAGTTGAAGTCCACATGCCCTAAAATTGTCAAGGTTCAGAAACACTGGTCTAGGAGGCACAACTGGCTGAGGGCCCGCAGCATTTCTCCCTCCCCTTAAAGGAGGCTTAATATTTGCATCCCTACAAACCGTGGCATCGTTTTCCCACCCCCACAGCAGTTCACGAAAGGCGCCTCCTCGATGTCAGGAAACCCTCTGACCAACGTGCCTAACGTATGAACGGCGCCTTCTAACCGTCTGAAAAGGTTCCTCTCAAACGGGGTGGGTAACGAGAAGCAAGGCCGGGGGCAAATGCAATCTCTGCCTCCTCCTCCCCAGGGCAAAATCCTCACTCTGCAAGCGGCTCCTGTGTCCCTCCTTCCCTTTACTCACTTAGCTCTTCCGCGGCCTCCTTGTCGTCTTCATCCTCTCTGCTTTCCCTAAGTCTGTCTTCGTTGGGGGGCGACGGCGGTAGTTGTAACAACGGCAGCGGGGCCTCCTCAGCCGCCATTTCTCCCACAAAGCGAAGTTGAAGAGGCGAGGATTTCTTTGCCCTCCTCCTCCTCCTCCTCCTCCTCCTCAGGCTGCTCTGCAAAAACCCCTCAGGCTGCTCACGAGGGCTCCCTTGCCGGCCAAGCCGCTGCTGCACTTCGCGACGGAAAGAGCGAGGCTACGCCCCCGTGACATTTTAAACTCTCCCACCAGAGGCCTACATTACCCAAAATCCAACGCGGCTCGTGAACTACAATGCCCAAAACGCCGCCACGCTGAATGCGACGTGCTGCCTTTTTGCCCGGCGACAGCCCGCGGGCAGTTGGTGAACTACAGTACCCAGCGTGCAACTCGACAGGGGTGGTGTTGATGCTCCAAAAGGGTGTACGTCGCGGGACAGCTCAGTTTGGCCGGTTGTAGTAGAACGTCAAAGGGAAGCCGATTGGCTGCCGGAGGGGGCCTCTTTTATTGCAAGAGGGCGGAGAAGCTGGGCGCCTGAGACGTCAGAGGAAAACAAGCCTCGACGAATGGCCAATACTTTTTGGCCCGAAGGTGTCTTTTAGTTACCGAGAAAGAGACATACAGCGTGGGCGGGGAGCAAAGGTTTTAAGGAACTCAAAATGATCCCTCTGGAAAGGTGGTCGAGCTCCTGGGAATCTTGATCCGGGTGTGCCTGTGTAAGCCGTCCCCGCTTCCGCAAAAGCTACAAGGTAGGTTAGTTTCAGTTAAGTTTGACATGGTGTTGTTTGAATCCAGCTTTACGGTTTCGTTAACGAATTCCGGTCAAAGCGAGACTGATTGAACAACGGAATTGTGCTCGTTTATTTACACAGCCTGTCTTAGTTAAGTTAAAAAGCACACGAGAGGAGAAAAGTGTTTTAAAATGGAGATACAATGGAACTTAGAAACTGAAAACCACCCCTTCCGCTGTGCTTTGGTGACCAGTTTGGCTGATTGTGATATTAGTTGCTGTCATTTTTTATTGACACCACCTTACAGTGCTTCTTACCCCATTTTAACAAAGACTACGGATGTTTGCTCTTTTATTTTTAATAGCTGGGTTTTTTTTTTAAAAAAAGAGCAAACTTCTAGTCATTATAAGAAAACATTAATGTCCACTCCTCCCCCTTAGTATAACTTTAATATCACACATAGAAACATAAACAGTGGAAACTTTAGTCATGACTAAAACAGTTTAAAAAAAGGCTTATAGGTTGGTTTCCTTTCAAATTGCAAGGTGGTGATGTTTCATTATTAGCCTTTTAATAAAGGTGGTGTTAGCATTTTAGAATGGCATCCCTGTCTCCTTTTGAAGTTCAGTAAACCATGTTTTCTTTTTAGCCAAACCCATTTCCTTTTTTTAATGTACAAAATCTAATCTCGTGAAGTAAACAGCACTTTATTCTGAAAATGGCTGAATACACTTGCAAGTTTTACAGAAGATATAAACTCAATTGGGAAAGGGAGTAATGTAACCCGTACATTTGCCACTTGTGCAATGTTATCTAGAATCAGTGTTTTCTATTGTTTAATTTTCACATGTAACAGTATCTTTTCATGTTTGTTTACTTGCTCTATTTTTGTACAATTTTTTATTAATGTTTTACAAAAAGTTTAAAAACTAACACCAATAAAGAGCGTAAGAAAAAAAAGAGGAAGGAAAGCAAAAGTTAAAAAGATCCAAAAAGAAAAAAATAGAAGTGTTTGATTTTCTTTGCAGCAAATATAAGTACAATCACAAAATTATCTCTTACTCTATGATGACAAAAACCTTCACTTTTTTCCATTATACATTTTTCCTAATCATCAAAACCACAAATCATAAGTATATTTTTTGCTGTTTCATTCAAAAAGTGTAAGGGATTTCCAGTTGACAGTAAATATAGATATTACTTTTTCTTTAATCAAAGCAGTTAGTGTAGCCATTTCTGCAAGTTCCATCATCTTGACCAACCATTCCTCTGCTATAGGTAGTATCAAGCCTTTTTTCACTTTGGAGCATATAATAGTGTTGCTGCAGTTGCCATATATAAAAACAAGGTCCCGTGTCTTTTTTCTAATAGTTCATTAATTCCCCAAAAAAGTTTTGGGTTCCAATTGTACTTTAACCTTTAAAATCTTCTGAATTAAAGCATATATTTGCATCCAAATGTTTTGGTTTTTTTACATGTTCACCAAACATGATAAAATGTCCCTTCATGTTGTTCACACATTTCCAGCAAAAATTTGAAATACATTCTAGTCACATTCTCTACCAATGACACATCATTTTATAAAAATTCTCTTAAGTCTAGAAGACAAGATAAATTTTGTTCCCTTTGATCATATAGTTTTCCATTGGTCTATTTGTATATTATAGCCAAATTTTTTAGCCTTGTTTATCATACATTTTTTACTAGCTCTCCTTTTGTCTCATATGTCAATAAACGTTTATACATTTTAATAACAATACATAATTTAGTAATCAGTGCATAATTCTGTTTCAAATTCAGTCTTTGTTCAAAACCATAAAATCTTTCATGCACTATAAACTTTTCTTTTAATGGTATGGACATAGCCTATATGTCCATCACCCCAAAAATAAGTTCATCTAGATTCATAATTTCTACAGTCTCATGACTTCAGGTGTTACAAGAATGCTGACTTACTTTTTTACCTTCACATTATAAATATGTGAAGGTAAAAAAGTAAGTCAGCATTCTTGTAACAGCTGAAGTCATGAAACTGTAGAAATACACAAATAAAATGTTTAAAGAAGGAAAGATTTAAGGGAAACAGGCAGCACTATCTTTTTTTTACAAACTAAGCACAGTTTAAGAAAAGCATTATAGGAGCAAGTTCTGATCCATTATTTAGCCACTAAAATTTAACAAATATGTTGTCATTTGAAACGATTCCTGATAAATCTAACATTGATTGTACTCCATTTACTAAGTAATAATATATATCATGTAACTAACAAATGAGCATACAAAAGATTATATCATTGTTTTCTCTCTTCACCTCCTCCTTTCCTTCTAATCTATCATTGATTCATTTGTATTACATTAAATTTCCAATTAAACCTAAGATAAAAGTCAGAGATATTCCACTACAGTATTCACTGCTTAAATTAGGAATAGCCAGCCTATTCGGAGCTTTTGTGCTTTACGTAACTCCTTGGAAAAATATCTAAACATACCTGTAATTAAGATTGCAGTACTTTTTTTCAGACTTTCAGACCTAAGCATGTCAAAAAAACACAAAAAGAAATCCAGTCAAAAGGATGACACCTCGGATAAAAAGGTAAGAAAATCTAGCTATTACCTTTATATTAGCTGAAGAACTGTCCCATCCCCAGTGTGATTGGTCCATCCCTCTTGTGCCAGCAAAACGGCATGCTGTGGATCCTGTCAACCAAGGAATTTGGCTCTTGGGGGTCCAGGAGAAGAGCCTTTTCTGCAATGGAAGCTGCCATCTGGAACATCATTCCCCTCAAAGTGAGATCTGCTCCCACCATCTTGACCTTTTGTAAAGATCTTAAAACCTGGCTCTGCCAGTTGGCCTGGGGCTAGGATAGGGGTGTGTTATCCTGGAGATAATTACCGGATTAATAGAATATCTGACCTCCCCTTTACTGTATATCCTCTGCTATCTTAGCTATTCCTTGTTAATGTATTTATTGTTTACTGTTGCAGTCTTTGATATTATAATTTTATTGGATTGTAAGCCATCCAGAGTTGTGTGACAGCGGGATAGGCAGCAAATAAATTTAATAAATAACAATAATAATGATTAAGTTTTTCATTGCATAAAAAAAAATGGAAAAAAAGCTAGGGTGGCACCATGAATAGAATATGATCGATGACTAATGATAATATTCAGTCTTAATGCCATATTTGCAGTATTAAAAATATGGATAGTCTACTTTTGTTCTCTGGATCTTGGATATAACTGAAGTCAATACAGCATTTTATTACCTAACAGAATTAAACATAACCCTTTTCAAGTGTTATGCTCTTTGCTTTTTCTCCCCATCAGTTACTTCCTAATGCTTTAACTTGCCTAGGCTGAGCAGAGATGGGGCAAAAAGCTTTATGCTCTAGGAATTAGGAGAACATGTAAGAATGGCCAGCTTATATACACCCAAAACTGCAGGCTAGACAACTGCAGAAGACATGAAGTGGCCCAGTGTTTAGGTAACAGTTGTAGAGGAATAAAGGACCTTTCCCTAGAACATTTTTATTTTCAAATATTTATTTTGGTTCCAAACCAGGCTTTTCAGATGCAGAACAGAATTTAGATTGCATATTTACAATCTTATTTTTTGAGTGTGCTTAAATAAAAATACAAGAAAAGTATCATTAGGTTCTGAGATTTTGCCAAGGACAGGGGCTTTATAAAGTCAAATAGGTAAAAAAGTGTTTTTTTAAGCATAAGCAAATATTTTTTCTATTTCCCATGGTGGGTTCATCATTTAAATAGGCACATAGGATAGAGCAAATGTGGAAAGTCAGGAGAATTTAACATTATTTTTGAATGCCGATGAGCTTTTGTTCATAACAAATGCAAAATTGGCAAAACAGCAGTTAGTAGTGGCAATGGAGAAGGCCACTGTAATTTCAAGGAATTTAGTGACATTTTGATTTCTCCTTCATATTAAGAAAAGTCTAGAATTTTGTAGTTTGTTCTGAGCAAGCATGCTTGGGGTTTTTTTGCTCTTGTTGTGTGTGTGTGGGAGCTTCACATAGCTTCAAAGATTTTCTCACTATGAAAGATTCTTGCTTTCCATCTTAGAGTCACATGCCATTCAGTCAAGGTCAGGTTTTGCAGTCTCCTGACCAAGTTTGATAAAAACCTTGGGATTGTTGTTGTTTCTTGAGAGCTTCTGCACAGAACCTTGCATTGGGTACTGTGGAAATTTGCCACCCCTTAGTTATCTCTGCTGTCATTAGCAGAAGCTCCTGGCTGCTTGTAAGAGATCTGGGAGTCATCTTCCTTGGTGCGTATGCTTTTTATGTTATACTTTTAAATACGTTTGCTTGAATTTGCTTAAAATCTTTTATTCACTGGTGTGCTTATTGATTCTGGATCAAAAACAACAACAACACCCAAATACTTGGGCACCTGATCACTGCCCTGACACTTGACAAAACACAGAAGACAGAAGGTTCTAACTGCTTGAAGCAGTATGTTTATACATACTATATGAGGATCGTGAAATATTTGATCTAAGATTATCAAACTTGGGGAAACTTAGGGATTTAATGTTAAATTGTAACAGTGAGTCATATTAGTTAAGCTTTTGCAGAAACTCAAGGACAGGAAGATTAGAAGACTCTGGCTCAGTGTTTAGGCTATAAAATAGTACTTATTTCTACCATACACTGAACGTCTGCAGGAATGAACATGCAGATTGTGCAAGGAAAAAATACCAAAATGTATCTAGAATAGTAGAAATAACAATGATCAAGAAGTAGTTATTGTTGAATCTTAATGGACATTTTTTGAAGTAGTATATGCAGGCCCATGGAGATTAATGAATATTACTGTTAATATGATACAGTAAAAACAACTAAAGTGAAAGAGAAGATTATAAAGGCAGTAATAATCTGACTTAAGAGATCATATCCTGTATCTGTCTTTGAGGAAAGAATGATGCATAAAATATAGTGAAATTCCATGCAACTTTGCTCTCCCTATTGTGAAAGATTATTTAATATAAGGCTGGACAACACACATGCTTATAAATATTTCTTATTCTTTCAGAAACCAGAATCAGCAGAAATTGGGAACAGACATGCAAAAGAACAGATGGACCAAAGGTAATATTTTTCTTTGATAGGAAGAATGGAAGTATTGATATTTTGAAGGCTGAAAAATCTAAATTGGCTATAGTGCAGAGAACAACACTGTTTGAAATCTGTTGATTAATTTGGAATATTTGATTGGATCATTTTAGTTGCCTGACTTTTAATCAAATTATAAAGAAAATGATACTCTTGTAATAATCCCCAATGCACCAATTTTATAGTTTTTTTTATTCTTTCTTTTATTACTTTGCCTAACTGATCTTTACTTGTACTATTGTTCAGTTATCGGGGAAAGTTCCCTACTGTTTTTAGTTTTATTTGTAACCTCATTATATTTGAAATTGTGTTGCTATGTTGCCATAAGCAAAGAAAGTAACTTATGGAATGGTCTTCTAGATGCTATGGCTAATAGAAATAGTCATCCATTGCATAGCTTCAGCTATATGATAATATTTATGCCATTTGTAATTTATGAATGAGAATTCTCATTCCTAATGTAGCAACATGATATTCTTTGGATTTTTTCGATTTCAATTCTCATATGGGAATACAGTTCTTATTTAGAACTAATTTTTAGAATTAGATTAAGTATCTCATTTTAAAGAGGCTAATAATTTTATAACAAGCTACCTGTCACATTTTCTGTATGTATCGATAATTTACTGATAAGTTCGGATTTTTCTCTAACATTTTCCTGTTAAATAAAAGATTGGATTATAATTTTAAAAAATCCACAGTTTACCTTCCACAGCCTTAACTTTCTTTAAAGTGATTTTTAATGATATTTTTGCAGAGTGAGTGGTGCTGGATATATGAAAGCAAAAATGAGTTTGGAACTCAAAAATTCTAGTACGGGACTTGAAACAAAGATACCGAGAAACTCACAACACAGTAATAGTGCTTTAATACCTCTGGAAGAGCGTGAAAAGATCACCATGCAATTTAAAGCCACAGCTAACCTTGGTGAGAAAAGAAGCGTTATGGAACCTGTAGTTGTCTTCCCTCGTAAAGAACAGTCTGGCACGAATGGTAGTGATCCTGATGACAAAAAAAGGAAGAGGTTGTCACACAATTTGGGGATCATAAACATCAGAGAGAAGGATAAAAAAAAAGATAAAATGGAGAGCACCAAGTTTAAAAAAGTAATTATAAAACACATAATGGAGGAATTCAAGGAAACTGCGAAACCTGCAGAATGTTCATTCCTTCATAAGAAAAAATCACTAAGAGTGAATGAATTCACCCAGAAGATGAACTATACCAAAAGCCATCACGTTCCAGCTTTTACTGTCTCAGATTCTAAAGTGCATATACAGGCTTGCAAAAAAGATAATCTTGAGAAAGACAAGCATCTTTCTTTAGAACTTTCCAGCAAAAATGGTAAAGAAGTCAAATGCAGACTCTCATATCACCTGACAAAGCTGCCCAAATGTTGGAAGTATAAAAATGAAGAACTAACACCTACTGATTCAGAGAGGAATATTTGTAATTCAAGGATTCAACGAAATAAATATGAACCTGTCACATTTCATTCAAGTTGGGTAAAGTAAAAAAAATAATTATCATGAGATATGAAGTGGTAGTTTTGCTTTTGTTGACATCGCTTAACTGGTTTTTAAATAATTTCCATGGGTTGATAATGTAAGAATATAAGGAACGATTCCTTAAATAATAAAGGAGTTCTTGCTTAGACAGTGTATCAATAAAGGGGTGCATTCTTTCACTTCATAAAGCAATGAGGAAGATTCTAACTTCCAAACACTACTGAAATTCAGATTGATCAGATATAACAAAGACTGATTGAGCAGAGATCTAGACTGTAGTAAATATTGGAAAGCAGATTAAGTTAGGGCTAGGGGTGCTTAAAAGTGATGGATAAAGACAAATTTTGAAGGAGAAATGCAAGCAGACTATGGGTTAAATATGAGAAGAAATTAATAATACTTCAATCATTTGAAAATATGAAATGAAACCAAAAACATTTTCTAAAAATATAATGCATTTTACCTAGTTCCTCTGGCATTATTTTTCTTCCTTTCAAAATTGCTTCAGATTCCAAGTAAAATTCTAACTGTAATATTAACAGCTAAGTACTTATGTATCTTTGTTACAGAGCTCCGCATCCTCATGTTCTTCCCTGGAAAACATTGAAAATACAGATGTGGACCAAGAGGTTAGAGATTGTTTTATCAGCATTCCATAAATGCAGTTTTAATTCATACTAGCCAAACTTTAGACTGGGTTTTTTCCCCTCATATTCTGTTTGTTCTCATCCATTCTAATATATGCTAACAATACATACTTAGAGACTGGATTTTTATTATCTAACCTTTGGGTGCTTTACAATTACAAAGTTTTAAAATGAAAACAGTATATAAAAACATAAAGTATGTTACCAACAAAATCACCAATAGCAGAAACAAATTGAAATTTCCACTGCAGAAGAAATGCATGAAAATTCTATACCTCTCATGAGACCATTGCAGAGGTTCACAGAAATATATGTACCGTGGGGGGAAGGGGCGGAATGGATAACTGGGAGGAATCCAAAAGTACGGTAGCCTAATGAGGACTGAGCATACTTGTTGGTCAAGGTATCTAAAAGTAATGAAGAATGAACATACTTGTTCTGATCTCAATTCCAAAGCTAGATAGAAAATGAATGAAGAGTCCCAGCATAACACTTTGAACTTGGTAGCGAAACCTGTATGAATTCCTACCACCATGTTTATTTAAACAATATAAATAATACAAAGTTAAGAGAAATTATAATAGTTTGATTCCAGTCAAAATAATCAGGATTTGTATTGGCTAATTCCCTTCTGAAATGTGTGCAAACTAGAATTCTTGGAGAGAGAAATGAAAAATAGGGGAAAGAAAGTATCTTACCTCAATGTATCAAGATATATAGACAGGTTACACATATCATGCAGTGTTGTTTTTTTTCTTTTACTTTTTTTTCTTTTATTTTTTTTTTATTTTTTATTCTTAATTTTTTTTTATTAATTTCAAAATAACCCCCCCATACAAATATAAACATACATTAATACAACTTCAATATTATTAATTTTAACATACAAACATAGACATACATTAATACTGCAAAACAGCCCGGCAACCCCCACTCCCCGCGTCCGCCCTCTTTCCTCCTCCTTCAACCTCCCTACACATCCCGCCTCCTTCCCTCTCCTCTTCCTATGGACACGGTTTAGAGCGCTAGCCAAGCATCAGCTCGGCAGCCCCCTCCCCGCATCCGCCTTCTTTTCCACTACCTACCTACTTCCCTCCTATCTCTCTTCTCCTCTTCCTCTCCCTCTCTTCGGACACGGTTTAGGGGTGCCGACCGAGCGCCTTCTATATTTCTCCATACATCAATAGTCCTAATTTAATACTCATTTCTACATTAATCATTAATGCTCATAATTATTTCATCTCTATTTCTACCCTCCCTCTCCCCCACCCCACCCCCGGACTTCCCAGAACTGATTACAGGGTTAAACACACATCATGCAGTGTTAACTACAGGTTTGTTAGACCTTTCTGATAAATGTTTTCACTGAGAACAACTTTTATTCATTGCCATTAGTGTTATTCATTTATTTTCCCTTTTCTTCTGTATCATATTCATCTACCATTTAGGTCAGTGGTGGTGAACCTATGGCATGCGTGCCAGAGGCGGCACTCAGAGTCCTCTCTGTGGGCACGCGTACCGCTGCCCCAGCAGAGTTCGCCAAAGTAGCGAGCACATGGCGTTTGGAAGTGACAGGGCAGGAAGTGAGCGAGCAAGCGGTGTTGGCCCCCCAGGGATGCCCCGGAGATGGCGAGGGAATGGCCCCGGCCACGCTCACCCAGTCTGCCGTGACCACTGCAGCCACACCCACCCAGTGGGCCACCCCCCCTAAGGGCACCACAATGCTGATGCAGCCCTGGCACTTTGCGATAAATAAGTGGGTTTTGGGTTGCAGTTTGGGGCACTCGGTCTCTAAAAGGTTCGCCATCACTGATCTAGGTGGAAAGAGTAAGACAAGGAATAGTATCTTCCTTCCCTCTCTCCTACCCACCCACACACTTGGAGAAGTAAATAGATAGTAATAGGAAGAAGGGAAAGCAGCAATAACTGGGAGTGCTTCCTTATCTTGTTCTTAAGATAGCAACTCACGATTTTACAATTATTTTTATAGATGCAGATTGTAGAAGATCTGCATGCAGCTCGTATTGAGAAGAAGATGGATCTGCCTGTCGTGCAGACTTGTGGAGAGCTAACTTGCATGGAAATAGATCTTGCAGATGATGAATCACATATATCATCTAGTAAGCTTATCTGTGTATTCTGCTGTCTCTCCATTAACAGACTGATGGAAAGAAGAAAATAAATGAAAGATAAAGCCAATTATTGAATTATATATATTTTTCTTCTTTTCTAATAGATATTTTCTCTGGGTTGAATACTTTGATTGTGATTGATACTAATATAATGATCAGCCATTTGACATTCATCAAATATTTAAAGAATGCTGATATCCCAGGTATGTGTGGATTTATCTCGGTAACAAGTCGTGGTCAAGTATATCTGATCTGAAAGATGTTGCTTGTCTATTACCTGCCACATCTTTTTTCAATCTGAAAGCTAAACTTCAATCCTGCATCTTATAGCAGATAGCTTCATTTTGCAAACAACTTTGGACTTTTTTCTTTTAAGTTACCTTTAATNATATAGCATGATTTGATGTACGCAGGCGTGAATTTATTTTATTTTATTTATTGACCACTCCTGATACAAAATGTACTGAAGTAGTAGACATCACACAAAGTTAAAAGAAGATGGATCAGTTTGATTTCAAACAAAAAAATCTAGAATTTTTATTGGCTTGCTTACTTTCATAACAGTATGCTTACTAAGTGTCTCATATACTTGGAGAATGCCTATTGTGTATTATGATTCAACAAATGATTGTACAATCATTTAAAACAAGATTCATAAAGCTTGTTAGGATCATCTTCAAAACATTGAGAACAGGTATGCCATTAGGAAGGCTTAAGTAGCTGCTTCTCAGAACTTTGTTTGGTAATTTGCAGGTCCATGCATAGATATTTTCACCAGGTGTGCCAGCAAAGTAAAGCATGAAATGCTTAATGTGCAGAAATAATATTGTAATATTCATTCTTTAAATGCTCTGCAATCTTGTAGTTAATAAGTATTTTACTTTAACTTTTATCCTCTCATAATCATTATCAGTGTCAGCTAAGCAAGGATGCTGAATTGGGGAAAACTTGCCATTTCTGGTCATAATACTATCCTTTCTAGTTTGAAAATAGTGTAAGTGCATTTATTTAACATGTTAAGAAAATTGCTTTTTCTTTTTTATGCTTTTGATAAAATTAAAGAGAAGTAATTACTGAACTAGTAAACATCTAATTTAGTAAAATCTTATTTATAGTAGTCTGAGTTTTGAATTGAATAAAGAAAATTTAGCAATACACAAAATTGAGGATGATAAGATGCCTGACCCAAAAATCCAAACACACACACACACACAAATAGTTTTGAACTAAACAGTTTTTTTTCCTCTCTCTGGAAATCCTCTCTCTGGAATCAACAGATAACAAGACAGAGATTTGGAAATTAGAGGATAAAGATAGAAAACAAGAGGATTATGGAAATGTTTTGTATAGGAATATTGCAACCACGTGGATTTCACAAATGCAATTTTTTGTTTTAAGAACTTTGATAATTTTTGACAAAAATGCTATTTTTTTCTCCTAATTAGGCATAGGCAGATTTTTGCTATTAATTCCCTGGGTAGTTCTGCAAGAACTGGACAACTTAAAGCGAGGGAAGATATTGGAAAACGTTAGGCAAAAAGCAATCCCTGCAGTTCACTTCATCTATACTTGCCTGAAAAATCAAGATCCAAAGTTGTGGGGTCAATCCATGCAGCTTGCTTCTCAAAAAACACGTAAGTCATTGTAGAAATAGTCATACTTTTACTCTTATTCTTAGATCTCTAAAATCTTCAGTAAGTGCACATACGTGGTAACAAACCCCATTCCAACAGAAATTATTCCATCAGAAATGAAAATATTGAGGATGAACTTTTTAAATGCCTATTTCTTTCTCTGGTCTAAAATAATGGTGTTGGTTGCTTTCTATGAAGTCAGTGATGCAATTTTCAAGACCATCCCTTGCCCATCCACCTTCCCAGTTGCAAGGTATGGCTGTATCTACAAAATGATTTAATTCTCCCCTTGATCAGCAAGTGGAAAGAAGGACTCAAAGTAAAGGACTAGTTTTTTTCTAGACCTACTATAATTTCCTTTTAAGAATGTTTCTGTGCCCCAAAGACTTGAGAAACAGTGAAACAAAAGTAGCAAGTTACTGCTCATTATAAAATGTTCCCAGCCAAATGCTAAATAAAATAAATCACAAGTATAAATTGGTTCAGGGAAAGCAGTCTATTTTGTTAGTTTGTCATAGTCATCAGCAGCAGCAATATTTTATGATTTCTCCACCTGCACATGGTTCCTGTTAGCAGAGAATTAAATTTTAAAAAGAGATAATTAAAAGATAGGTAAAATGCGTAAGACAGTAAGAATATTGTTATTCAAAATAATAAAAAAAACTATATGGAAGAGATGCTTTTTTTAAAAGAGACATAGAAACTGGGGACCAGTTGTACAATAAATACATGCTGCCACATGAAGAGAAGACTCAGTATAGCTTTAAACATCTGTAATATCAATCTTTCTAGTTGCTTGACTTAACGCTTAGTTGCTTAGTGTTTTAAACCAATACCTTAAATTAAGCCTGGTAAGAAGCAGCACCACCTTTCTGTATAGGCATTTTTGTACCATTTGAAGCTTTTGGATACTTTACAGCAATGTGTCTTTGAGATAATCAGTGCATGACCAGGAGGCCTATCCCCTGAGATTTGGAAGGCCACTACTTCCTTAGCCTTCCAGAAAGCCTCGAAGATCTGACTTTTCCCCAGACATTGAGCCAGGATGAGAATTAAATGAATATGTATTTGGGATAGGAGGGTTATGCTGCCTGAGTTTGGTGCAATGGTTTTAATTTTGTCTGTTATTATTGTGAATCATGGCTTATTCTTCAAAATGAGCTGCTGTCTATTTCAAATACAATATAACAGTGGTGGCGAACCTATGGCACGGGTGCCAGGGGCGGCACTCAGAGCCCTCTCTGTGGGCATGTGCGTCGTCGCCCCAGTCCTAGGCCTTCAGCTGGGTTTTATAAAACCTTTTCGCTTTAGGCCTCCGGCGCCATGTGCAAAAAAAAAAGCTTCAATCAGTCAATTTCAACTTCTCGCGGGAAAACAAAAGTTCTTGCAAAGTTGGAATTGATTGATTGAACTTTTTAGTCCCACCCAGTCTGCCGTTACCACCATAGCCACGCCCACCCAATTGGCCATGCCCACCCAATTGGCCACACCCAGCCAATGGGCCACACCCACCTGACACTCGACGATGCATAAGTGGGTTTTGGGTTGCAGTTTGGGCACTCGGTCTCTAAAAGGTTCGCCATCACTGAAATATAACAATCATAGCCACCAGCTATACTTGGTGTAATAGTTGAGAAAGTAACCTCCATTCTTGGTCAAGTTTGTGTTCTTTTGAATAACGTTTCCTTCTGAGCATTGGCACTTCACTCTTGCACTGTATTGTGTTACATTACATTATGTTACGTTACATTTACTCCCAAGACAGAGCTGAAGCAAACTCTAATAAATACTGAACATCAGGAGCAAAGAGGATGATTGTAAATGAAGAATGCCACAAATATAAAAATATTTTTTCTTGCCTCTTGATGTGCTATTGCTGTTTATTCATCAGCCAATTGTTTTAGAATATGACACTGTAATCTCTCCTTTCTGAATTTTCAGAAAGTTTCAGTACTGAGAACAATGATGATCGTGTGTTACAATGCTGCCTTCAGTATCAGAATCTCTACCCTCAAGCTGAAGTAATCTTACTGACGTAAGTTTTTTGGTGTAGCTTTCCAATGGAGGATCTACATTTCATTGACAGGGCAATAAGCACATAATCATTTTAAATACATTTTTCAAAAAAATAATGCAGTTACTGATTTTTCTCAGCAGCATCCCTTTTTAAAAACACCTTGGGAACTACAGGTAGTCGTCAACGTACAATCATTTGTTTAGCAACCATTCAAAGTTACAGTGTCACTGAACAAAGCGACTTATGATTGGTTCTCACACTTATTATAACCATGGTAGCATCCCCATGGTCTCACGGTCGGGTGCTTGGTGATCAGCATGTATTTATGACATTTGCAGTCTTCCAGAGTCACGTGATAGCCAGTTGTGGCCTTCCCTACTGGCTTCTGACAAGCAAAGTCAACCATGCGAGTCATTTAATTGTAGTCAGTTGCTGGTATGGGGAGTTTTTAAGCTGTTTTGGAACTGTTGGTGAGACCGTTAAAAGCTGTTTGTGCTGTTTGAAATTGTTCTGCCAGCAGCAAGATCTGACTGCTGCACAGCGACCGATTTAATTGCAAATCTGGGCTGTTTCCGAAGGAGGTAGAGGAGGAGAGGCTTATGGAGCGAAAGAACTGGATGAGGCTGTCGGCAGGCCCAGAGGAAGGGAGAGAGACTTTTGGAGGAGTCGGAGGCGGCGGCAGCATGCTCCTGGGGTGAAAAGGAGCGAGGCCCCTTTAAGGAAAAGGTGGAAGAGACGGGATCAGAAAAAGAAAAGGAGGCGAGGTTGTTGTGCAGGAATATAAGCTAATTTGAGGGCTAATGCACATGGAGCTCTGTTTCCATCTGTCCTGTTTGCCATCGTTCACTCCCTAGGCCTAGAGACTAAAATGGACATTCTGAAACTTGGCCACGAACAGGAAGTGTATATTGGAGGTGGTGACCCTTTGAGAGCTGTATGCAACAAAATTTCATTTTGATGTATGCCGATTGGTGTATATTCAAAGTGATTATTCTATTCTATTATTTGCTTAACAATTGCTTTAGGAACAAAAATTCTGCCCATAATTATGGTGGTAAATTAAGGACTACCTGTATGTAGATTGGTGTAATGTAGTGGCAAATTATCATATGTGTGTGTGTGTGTGTGTGTGTGTACACACACACACACACACATACATACAATCTTTAATTGGAGATGACAATTTCTCAAGCAAAGAAGTTAGCAGACTGTTGTTAGAAATAATACTTTTTTTAGAACTATTGTCTTTCATTTTACTGAAGAGCAAATACTATATTGCTGTTTCAAACAGTCGAACATACAGATACGTATATGCTTATATAGGAATTCTGGGAATTCTAAATAAAGGAGGATGGTTTTTTTCAATTAGAGCTTCCAGAATGATAACTCTTTAAAAACAGAATTTTGCAAGTTCAACTCATACAATTGCTTGTTGAGAGTTTATTTTAAAATGGCTTCATGCAGGTATTGAGAGATTCACCAGCTCATGTAACACAGAAATAGGATATTTTAAATCACAATTCATTGAATATATGTATGTAATGTTCACTCATCATCTAAGCCAAAATCATAGCTCAGCATTATGGATACATTCAATTGTCTTCCTTTTCCCAGGAAAGCAAAACTAGGTATGTTTATTTGTATTTCTTTAATAGGGATGATAAAAATTTGTGCAACAAAGCCTTAGTGAGTGAAATAAAGGCATGTAGTAAAGCAGATTTAGTTGCTGCGTTCCAGAAAATGACTCCAAAGGGCACAATTATAAGTGAAGATACTTCCAATAACAAGTGGGAAAAAGGTTGGTTTTTCTTTATATATTTTCATGACAGTACTGCCTTATAATAGAATTAATTGAGTAAGTGCCTCTGAATTTTGTGTGATTTATTTCCAGATTTTGTAATGTAAAACTAAAAATTGCTTTTTTTTAAAAAACGTGCGTCATAAAATAAATATTTCCAAATAATCATCACTGATGAAATGCCAACATTATCCTAAAGAAGGGGTCCCCAACCCCTGGTCCATGGACTGGTACTGGGCCGCAGCATGCCAGCAACCGGTCCACACAAACTAGCAAAGCCTCATCCATGGGATGCAAGCAGCACACAAAACCACGCACTCTCTGGTCCGTGGAAAAACTTTTCTCCATGGAACCGGTCTCTGTTGCCCAAAAGGTTGGGGACCTCTGCCCTAAAGTACACTGTGTGCACAATTATTAGGCAAGTGAGTATTTTGACCATATCACCATTTTCATGTATATTTTCCACCTCCAAGCTGTATAAACTTAAATGCTTAGTGGATATAAGCGGATCAGGTGATCTGTATTTGTGTAATGAGGGAGGGTGTTGCCTAAGGAGATCAACAACCTATATCAAGGTGTGCATAATTATTAGGCAGCTTCTTTTCCTCAGGCAAAATGAGCCAAAAAAGAGATTTAACTGACACTGAAAAGCCAAAAATTGTAAAAAGTCTTTCAGAGGGATCCAGCACACTTGAAATTGCTAAGATATCGGGGCGTGATCGTAGAACCATCAAACGTTTTGTTGCAAATAGTCAACAGGGTCACAAGAAACGTGTTGAGACAAAAAGACGCACATTAAGTGCCAAAGATTTGAGAAGAAGCAAACGTGAAACTACCAGGAACCCATTTATCTTCCAGTGCTGCCATATTCCAGAACTGCAACCTACCTGGAGTGCCCAGAAGTACAAGGTGTTCAGTGCTCAGAGACATGGCCAAGGTAAGGAAGGCTGAAAGCCGACCACCACTGAACAAGACGCATAAATTGAAACGGCAAGACTGGGCCAAGAAATACCTGAAGACAGATTTTTCAAAGGTTTTATGGACTGATGAGATGGGAGTGACTGTTGTGCTGTTCCAATAATGGAAGTGAAAACTTCAAAAAAGTAGCTTGGCTTAGTAGAAGGAAGGAAAGTCTAATTCCCTTCAAGACAGCGCTGATTCCATCTTTCTTATGATCATGGGTGCTGCCATTTTTAAAACGCCTGCTTATACATGTCTGCAAAATTCAACTATTAAATATCACGGCTTTCACGCAAACTGTTATGTAGTAACATATGAATTTCACTTGCTATTTTCTTCCATTTCTTGTGGGTTGGAATGTAGAGTTTTTGGTAATCTAACTAAGCACTGACTTAATGTCACTGCCAATAGACTATAGAGAGTTATGCAGCATTCCCTAATGATGCCTTTGACAATGAAGCATATTTATAGGAATTAGAGTTGAAGGAGGAACAAAAATCTTTATCAAACAGATACTGCCACGGACATTTTAATTATACAATTTGAGCATAAGTAGCCCGTGGCTGGATCAGTAACGGGCCCAGAGCGCCTTCAACTCAGATGCCAGCAAGGTGGAGATGGGGTACTGGTATGGGCTGATATTATTAAAGATGAGCCTTTTCAGGTGGAAGATGGACTCAAAATTAACTCCCAAACGTGCTGCCAGTTTTTAGAAGACAATTTCTTCAAGCAGTGGTACGGAAAAAAGTCTGCATCTTTCAAGAAGACCATGATTTTTGTGCAGGACAATGCTTCATTGCATGCATTGAAATACTCCACTGCATGGCTAGCCAGCAAAGGCCTTAAAGATGAAAGAATAATGACATGGCTTCCTTCCTCACCTGACCTAAACTCTATTGAGAACTTGTGGGCCCTTCTGAAATGGGAGATTTACGGTGAAGGAAAAGAGTGCACCTCTGTGAACAGTGTCTGGGAGGCTTTGCTTGCTGCTGCACAAAACGTTGATCCTCAACAGATCAAGAAACTGACAGACTCCATGAATGGAAGGCTTATGACTGTTATTGAAAAGAAGGGTGGCTATATTGGACACTGGGTTATTTTTTTTTTGAAATGTCAGAAATGTTTATTTCTACGTTTTGAGTTGTTTGTTTATTCTCACTTTAACAGATGTAAATAAACAAGTGAGATTGGCAAATTTTCATTTTTCATTTAGTTCCATGATAATTCTGCACATTGATAGTTGCCCAATAATTGTGCACACATAGATGTTCTCCTAAGAAAGCCAAAATCTCACTTTTTACTTTCTTAAATATTCAGGTTTGAGGTTTATTAGCATTTTGGATTGACTTGAGAGCACTGTAGTTGTTCAATAAGAAAATTAATCCTCCAAAATACAACTTGCTTAATAATTGTGCCCACAGTGTATATGCCACATTAAAATCTAACTCCAGCTGGACAAAAATTCTTGACTTAATTGGCTAAATTTTTTTGTGGCTCTAAATCGGAAGTCTCCAACCCTCATGCTGTGGCCCATTCAGAATCAAGCTGCGGAAGTGATGGACACGCGTGTGCCGCTCCACTGACGGAGAACCATCCCCTCACACACATACACCGCCTCCGCTGCTGTCCACAAAGCTGGAAAGGTTGAGGACCGCTATTCTAAATGACTGTATAGAGGAAAAAACACTTTAAAGTTTATCATACTAATTGCAATGAATTGGCTGGAGAAATAATTTATATTTTGGTATCAGCAGAGTTCCTCAGTTAAGTTGAAGAATTACTGAAGAGTCTTGATATGCAAATAGGGAGAGTATCAGAGATAATTTGAATATAGTAGTTTTTGATATGGAAGAGCTTGGACGGTGCGATCAGGATATCATCCAACAGGACTGGGAAGCATTTCAGTTTTCAAAGCAAAAAGTTGTCTTGGCATCAGCCTGCACCTCCTTTTACCACATGAATCTTTTCCCAGGATCATGCTAATGGACTAATTATGTTTATACCTAATTCACTGTAATTGAATTGAAACATTAATGTTGGTTTTGCTCATTAACAGATAAATACCCCAAGAAGACTGAAAATAATTCTACTAATCGTCTTTCAGAAGTTATTTTTGATATGGAAAAAAGCTTGGGTGATGTTTTATCTTCTATTTTAGAAACAGAACTGAAGATTGCTTTTGGAGATCTATGGATTGAGGTGAATGTTTTCACTATTCAAAAGAAATATATGTCTTCCATTTAGGGAACTCATGTATAATGCATCAGTGTATCTTACATGAACTTACGTACGTTCTAACTCCAGTTTTAGTTGCAATTTGGTGCAGGTAGGCATCCTGCTCCTTCTATAAGCAGAAAAGGCAAGGATATTTTTTGATATGGCTGTTTCTGCTAGCCACAAGACTGATAGGTTCTTTCCCCCCCCCCCCTTTTTTTTTGTGTGATGACAAACTCTCAAGATTATTTTCACTTTATGGCATACAGCAAATTGTTTCATATTTTTACATTGTATATTTTATATTTAAATGCTGTTCCCTTATAGTAGGTCTTTTTGAAATGCGTCTTGTTGACACATTTGCCGTGTAAGCCTCTGCTACAGTATCCTCAATTAACTTCAAGCGTGCCTTCTGAAAGTTCTCTTAGAATGCTTCCATTTTGCAGCAGAATTTTCTGCACATATAAACCATTGTTGCTATACAGCTTAGGGCTGTCATTCAGAATCCACTTCACGAGGTAGCACACAAGGTGGGTGCAGAATGAGAACAATTACCATCATTTGTGTCAGCTCTGTCCACCACTAGAAGAATCTTTAACTGCAAGCTTGTTCTAACTGTCCAAAATACAATTCCCTAAATTAGGTATGAGTCTGGAGAAGAATAAGGCGCATGGTCAGGCTGACAGTTTCTTTCTGACCTGTTCCTTCTTTTTTCTAAAGTAAACTCCCCTTTTCATAGGACACAGAGACATGCCCCAAGCCCTGTCACCCATCTAAGCAGTTTTGGTACAACTTGGATGCATGCACATAATTTCCATACATTACAAAGCATCCTATCAGATGCTATTAATTTTTTTGAACCTCACTTCCTGGGTGTAGGGTAAAGAGGAAGATTTGGGGGACAGAAAAAGCCAAAGCAAGACGATACCAGAAACTCGGTCAAGGGGAACAAATGTGCTTGATAGTGACCACGGTTGTTGCAAAGAATTAGGAAAAACAGAAGATCAAGAAACGATGCTAGAATGCCTCACTGGAAATCTTGGAGTTACACATACTGTAACTCTGGGACAGTACAACTGTCATAAATACATGCCAGTTGCCAAGTGCCCAAATTTTGATCACATAGCCATTGGGATGCTGCAAAGGTGGTACGCCTTTAAAAAAAGATGTGTTTAAAAATAATTAAAATGCTAAGTTCTAGCAGCTGTGAAGAAATAACACCTTTGAAACCTTCATCAGAAATCTGTGTTCGTGCTTAGTGTATTTTGGATTTTAGATAATCTGAAACTTATCAAATTAGGGTGCCCATGTCTTACGTAAGCAGAATGAGCAAATCGCTTACCATCTATTACAAATTTGTAGTCTTAATGCCGGATTTGCTTATTATTATTTAATGCTGTTCAGATTTCCTGATTCTCCATGACTGGCAAAATTCTGCCAGCTTCTTTTAGCCATCTGTGACAGCTGATTTAGGTCAATATTTTTTGTTAATGACATTTTCATAGGTTAAATAACATCTGAAAATCTCAGGAAGATGAATTTTATCCTCCATTACACATTTTTGCCTTTTGCATTACATGGTGTGATGGCATACAAATGTTTTGTAAAACCTTGACATTTTGTTGACCCTTCATAACTTCACAATAGTGACAAATTGAAGGGTTACAAGCTTTTGTAATATACTTTCAGGATGAAAATAAGTCCCCCTGATATAATTTGTCTTTAAAGAAGAAAATAAAGTATTAGAAGAGACTGTATTGTGGTATTATTAACCCTATTCCAAAATCAAATTCTATCACTTATTTTATATGTCTGTCTGTCTCTCTGTCAGAACAGGGAGGAGTTGATACAATTACTAAGTATCCTAGCTGATGTAGGTGGAATGTTTCTAGAAAAAATATTGAAATCTGACTAGTAAATGATTTTTCTTTCCTAGGTAGTATATCATAAACCCCCTTGGACACTAGCAAATGTGTTGGAGTGTTACAAAAAACACTGGATGGCTGTTTTTGGACAATTTATATCAAGAAGCCTTTTTTCAACTATTGAATATCTCTATGCACATCTTTGTAAAGGTAGGAATATTTATATTAATTTGCAAAATTAGATCAAAAGGGCACAGTCATCAGTACTAAAAATGTAAAGCTTGTTTTATTTTTATTATTATTGATTATGGTTGGTTGCATAGTCTGCCAGATATCTAGTCTGGATTTCGCATTTTTATGCACCTATTGAATCCCTCCCAAGAACTTGGGATATGTGGATGTTATAATTTAACAATATCAAAGATACTGTCACAGGATGTAAGCTGTTCCACGTAAAGTTGCCTTTTACACTTAATTGTCGATGGTTTTGTTAATGCCAGTGGTATTCAAGTGATGCTCTATTATCAGAGGTCCCCAACCTTTTGGACACCAGGGACTGGTTCCATGAAGAGAGGTTTTTCTGCTGACCGGAGGGTGCGTGGTTTTGTGTGTTGCCTGCATCTTGTGGGTGAGCCTTTGCTTGTTTGTGCGGACCGGTTGCTAGCATGCCGAGGCCCAGTACTGGTCCACGGACTGGGGGTTGAGGACCCCTGCTCTATATGTTTTGGGATTGCATCCAAGGTGCCTGTCACTATTGGTACTATCTTTGCTTCCTTTTGCCATGGTTATTCTACTTCTATTTATAGGTCTTTGTCTTTTATCATTTTTTTCCAGTTATTTCTCTTCCCTTTTGTCTCCAGATGTTGCAATGATCACAGTCCAGACTTTTTTGTCTGTCTTATTGGCAGTTATTAAGTCTGGGGTGCTTAGATATGCTTATCTATTTGAATACTAAAGTTCCAGAGTACTTTAGCTTCTTCATTTTTTATTACTTTATCTATTTTGTGGTCTAGCCATTTGATATACTGGCTATATAATACTTTGCCTTCGTGTATCTTTTCTGTTCTTCATTTGGTCTTTTTTTTAGGCCAATTTGGACTCTTGTCTACTCAATAAGCCTTCATGGTATATTAGCTGCAATAAATCTTCTGCACTGTCTTTGAAATATTTTTCCAATGCCCTTTTTTCTTCTTCAACATTTCACACCTATCTATGCTTCTTGGTAAATAGAGCTGTCAACTTTGCTGCCTGAAAGAAGAGCATGAATCATTGTCATTATTTTTCTGGTCTTCCTGTCTAGGGTTTCTCCTTCAGCTTGAATCCAATCTATTATTCCAGTTATATATCTAATCACTGGAATTGCCCAGGTGTTAATTTCCTTGGTGGTATTTGAACTTTAAAATTATCTTCATTCTTCTGATACTAACTTTTTTTCTTGATTTCAGTTGTTTGATTAGGAAAGATGCCCAGCTTTATTTTCATTCATTCATTCATTCATTCATTTATTTTATTTACTTTCAGCCCATCTTTCTACAAGGTGACCTATAACGGAGTTCCCAACCACTGGACTGTAGCCCACTACCAGGCTGTGGCCTATTCAGAACCAGGCCACATGAGCGGCGGACCAGCATGCACATGCACGCAGCTTGACTTGCAGGAGCAGCGGTCTAGCGCACATGCACACGTAACTCAACTTGTGCAAGTCGAGCTGTGTGTACGTGTGCTGGCCAGCTGCTCATGCAGCCCAGTTCCCCTCTTCCCCCCCCCGCCATCCAGGCTGCCAAGCTACAAAGGTTGGGGACCACTGACCTATAAAAGCGGCAACACTGTAATAACAAGAATACAAAATTATGATTAAAAAAATACAAAATCATAATTAAAACATGAGAAGGGAAGGAGCAAGATGCACAGGGAGATGAGATTTACTATTAGTCCATCAACTACCTCCAGCATGGTAGTTCCCCCCTTGGGCCCCCGGGCCAATTGGCAGATCCAGGTCTTCAGGCTCTTGTGGAAGGTCAGGAGGGGGAGAGCAATCTCACCTCAAGAGGTTCTAAAAGGCCAGGACCACAGCAGAAAAGGCTCTTCTCCTGGACCCTGCCAGCAGGAATTCCTTGACTGACAGGGTCCACACTATGCCTTCTCTACTTGTATGAATGGAATGGGCCTGTCCCATATACCTGAGACAATTCCTCAAGGAACCTGGACACATAAAGCCATGCAAAACTTTGCAGGTAATAACCAACACCTTGAATTGTACCCAAAAGGAGACTGGAAGCCAGTGCAGTAACATGGGCCATTCTAGGGTTCCCAAAGACTGTCCATGCCACCGCACGGACAGTTGAAGCTTCTAAATGCTCTTCAAGGGTAGCCCCATCTACAGCACATTACAGTAGTCCAAGTGTGAGATGACCAGGGCTTGAATGACTGAGTGCAGGGACTCCTGATCCAGAAAATTTTGACTTATCTTCATTGAGACTCTTATTTCCATAGGGCATCTTGATTCCTTCAGTTTTCACAATTTTTTCCCCTGTTGGTAAGGGTGGCATGTTTGCCAGTCCAAACTCCACTGCAGTATCTTGGCTGTATATATTGATGGTGTCGAGCTACAATTCTATTCCAGATGGTGTTTTTCCATACAGCTTGAGATCATCCATGTAAAGAAGATGGAATAGCCTGGCAAATGTTTTTGATGTTCGATAGCCATGGCTTGGCCTGTTCAATATTGTTGACAGTGGAATCAATGCAATGACAAACAATAGAGGTGAAAGTGAGTCTTCTTGAAAGATTCCTCTTTTGAAGTTAACTTCTCTCAGTCCATCACCATTAACCAGCAACTGTGTCTTCTATTGTGCTATTGATCCTTTGCACAAGGCTTCTGATGTTTTTACTGATTTCTGTTATTTCTTGGCACTTGAGTACCTACCCAGTCATGTGGCAGGGAGTGGAATGCCTTCTTATAATCAGTCCAGACTACATTCAAGTTGGTCTTCCTTCTCTTACAGTTTTCCAAAGTCATCTTGTCAATTGGGAGTTTATCTTGTGTCTCTCTGCTATTTAGGGGGTTTCTTTTCTGTTCAGATGGAAAGAGCTTGTTTACAACTAGATGCTGCTGGACTGTTAAGCAGGAATTGGCTAGATGCCTGGCACTGCCCCCTTTTGTTGTATCTTTCATTATCAGATAGATTTTGCCATATGTTAACCGGTCTTCAATTTTACTTCCTTACAATATGTTGTTAAAATACTTGACAATGAGTGTGTGCACACCAGTCAGATATTTCAACCAAAAGCCATACAGTTCATCTTCACCTGGTGCTGACCAATTCTTGATCTTCCTTGCCCTTCTCTCTGCTGTTTCTGCTGTTATTACAATATTATTATGTTATGATGACTTCCTTTGGCAATGCCATGGAACTCTATCTTTCTTTTTCTCCTCCTTCCTCCTCCTCCTCCTCTTCTTCTTCTTCTTCTTCTTCTTCTTCTTCTTCTTCTTCTTCTTCTTCTTCTTCTTCTTCTTCTTCTTCTTCTTCTTCTTCTTCTTCTTCTTCTTCTTCTTCTTCTTCTCCTCCTCCTCCTCCTCCTCCTCCTCCTCCTCCTCCTCTACCATTTTGTATAACTCAAAACAGAGCAATAGAAATTAATCCAGTTTTAAGCCTTGTAATTGTTCATCTCATAGTATATGTTCTTAGGAATGTATTAATAAAGTAGCAAGATTTCAGAATTCAACAACATTTTTTTCTACTTCCTGTCTCAGGTAAAATAATTGAATATTCAACATTAAGGGATGTCCTCCAGGAGTCAAAAATGTTATTGGAAATGTTCAGTTCAAGATCCACCTATGATGGTTTTCTTTCACGGGCTTTAGCTCAAGTGGAAAAATTACTCAAGACTGTTGCAGAGGTAACCCAGCCTAAGTTTTAATAAGCATAGTTCCTTTTAAGTGCATAAGCCTGGTTACAAGATTGATAGCATTCACATTTATCATCATTCAGAGAAAAAAGTTAGTTGTGTCTGAACTGTTTCCTTTTAAATGGAAATTAATATTGCATTTGCAGTGGATAAACAAAAATAAATTTCACTGCTGAATAAAAAGGATTGGCTTCTATAACAGCAGTGATGTACAAATTGTGAAGATATGGGAGGAGGCCATCTTGGAACCTCCAGGCATAGAAGTCCTTAGGCCAAGGATAAGCAACCTTGGCTCTTTTATGACTCGTGGACTACCCCTGCCTTAGGCTCTGACTCCTATTGCTTCATGCCTTCTAGGTTCCCAACAGAAGACAGATTGGAATAACAGCATGGAGGGAGGGAGGGAAGAGACACAGATGCTTCCAGTATACCTACCATGTTTTCCCGAAAATAAGACCCAGTCTTATATTTTTTTGCCTCCAAAAGAGGCACCAGGTCTTATTTTCGGGAGATGTCTTATCTTAAGATCCCTACAACCAGGCCTCCCACGCCCCGACACCTGTTGCGCTGCTGCCTAGTGTGGCAGGAGGCCATGAGGCTCAGCGCACTGATTGTGCTCACAAGCGACGGCAGCGGCGCAGTCGGCGCAATGAGCCTCACAGCATCCTGCTATGAGTGGTGGCACCAGCACGAGCAGAAGCACCGGCACAATTGGCGCGTCGAGTCCTGCGGGCGGCGGCACCGGCGCAATACGCCATGTGGCGTGCAGCCGCAAGTGGTGGCAGAAGAACTCAGGCAGCGGCGCAACAGTTGTCGGGGCATGGGAGGCCTGGCTGCAGCAGTCCTAAGATAAGTGGGTGCAGGGTGCATGTGGCAGCTCCAAACCCCTCCCACTGCCCTAGCTTGATTTTTACAAGTGTGCCTTGCCCCAAAACTAGGGCTTATTTTGGGGGTAGGGCTTATATTGGGTGCACGTGTAAAAATCAAGCTAGAGCTTATTTTCGAGATAGGTGTTATTTACGGGTAAACACGGTAAGTAAAGTATCACGTATGGCAGCGCACCACCACCACCCCTATCAATCTTTTCTTCTTCCTTTCTTCAGTTAGATAGCCTATTGGCTTCTCTTCTACTCTGTAGTGCCTTCTTTCTCTTCTTGCCTCTTTCTCTGTCCTGGTTGTGAATAAAATATGAAAAGAGAAAAGCAACCAAATTTAGAGTCGTTCTGATAGAAAGTATATTCTGAATGGGAGCAGGAGAAGAGACTCCCTCTAAATTTAAGAGTCGAGTATGGGAAGAAAGGATATCTTGCCTTGTCTGAGAGGAGAGAGAGAAAAATATTTTTATATTGCGTCTGCTACTGTCATGAGAAAACTAGCTTCCTCTCAACCATAATTGCTTCGGCCAGAAAGCGGTAGGCACCTAAATTATCTTCCCTCCAAATCACTACCAAGGCATGTGTGGTAAAGAGTTCCTTATTTGGAAATATTTACAGGAGATATTTTCAGATATCTCGAGGGGAGCTCTATTATTGTGTTCCTGGAAATAGAGCATGTGGAAAAGCTTCCATAGTAAGCAAGGGCCTGGCTAGAAAATATTCAGTTTTAGAAAATCACTATTGTGAGTTTATAAATTTATTTTATCTTTAGGATTTGAAAATATTTGCTATTACTCTTTTTTTCCCTCTGTTAAGTTTTATTATTTTTAGATTTTAAATTGCATTGTGAACTGCCCATGTATAATTTATGAAATTATATATAAATACTTCAGATAACCAGCGAAGAAACTGAACTATATCTTTTTTGTGAAGGCAGGATAACCCAACTTATCTTGGGTTTTATTATGAACATGATGATGTTAATAATAAAATGTGGCATTCCTCAAATTGACTCTTCTTACTGCTTCTTTGTTATGTTTTCATAAGATGGAGTCAAGTACAGGAGAAAATTCTAAAGATACCGTGAAATCTAATTTGGGAAATGATACATGTGAAAAAATGGAAGACGTGATTTTGTCAGAACACACTCAGACAGGAGATAAGTCTCCATTAACAAAGCGTTCAGCACAAGAAAATAGGCACATGGAAATTTGGTCTGTCCTTGAAAGTGTATGGAACAGAATCAATGTGTTCAGGTACTGTTTGCTAAGACAAATATTTACTAAAACAATATTCAACCCCAAATCAGTATGCTTTTAAATAAAGTCTAATATAAAACTTTCCTTACAGGATTTAAAAAGTTCATGTGTGTTATGTCTTCTTGCAAACATGCTCCACTGCTGAGCATGAACTGTGAATTCTTTGGGGGGGAAACCTGCCTAATATTTTCTTGTGTAATTTAGTAAAGTGCCAGATACTGGAATGGCGCTGTATCAATAATATTTCTGCATATAGTGTTGCCACCAATAGGCTGCATATTGACTCATGTAATATTAACTAGTTTTAGAAACCAGCTTGAAAGCAGCAGCTTCCTTGTGAGTAAGTCTCTGGACCAGAGTATGAGCGTCTGCAGGCTCAGGACCTACTAAGCATAAAGGCTGTTCTGAAAAAGGGGCAAGTGTGGTGGTGGATTGGAGAAGATGGTTGAAGGATATGCCAGAGAATGACAAAAATCCTCTTACAGAGAAAATACTCGCTAGGTTACCCTTATTAGGGCCCTGTGTACCAAGCCCCTTATTCTTCTGAATTGCCGGTGACTTCTCAACTAAGGAGTTTTGCTTATATGTTCACAGATGAGTCTAAAACCACTGCTTCCAGATTCATTTACTTCCTTGGTTAGATATTTTGAGTTTTACTTTGAATTTTGGGTTTGGACTGCTGAAACTTTAAATTCTCTCTCTCTTTTTTTCAGTCCCTGTCCCTGACTACCAGGGGACTGGGAAGTATAAACTTCAGCAGGTCCTTTACATGTTGGAGAGTTCAGTATTTGCTTTCTGTTACTGTCCACCCCACTGTGTTTGTGTTTCTGTCCTGTGTATCTGGTCCAACTCGCTGCTTATAAGGGTCTCTGCCACAAAATTGCTATTTAATTATTGGAAAGAGTGGTTTGATTTTCTCTCATTTTGCAAATGATTTCACATATTCCAAGAAGGTCCATGGTTATTTTTTCCCCTTTTTAACCAGCCATTGGGTGCTTTTCCCCGCATATATCTACTATAGCAGGGGTCCCCAACCCCCGTTCTGTGGACCGGTACCAGGCCATGGCATGCCAGCAACCGGGCCGCACAAACAAGCAAAGCCCCATCTGCGGGATGCAGGCAGCACACAAAACCACACCCCCTCCAGTCCGCGGAAAAATCTCTCTCCTGGTGCCCAAAAGGTTGGGGACCTCTGTACTATAGCACAAATATGCTCTAGCAACATGCCACCATTAAAATATTTGCCTTCCCCTAGACACTTTATTATTGACTGGAATCTTAAAGTATATAATATCTTTTAGGCCTTGTCAGTTAATACTTTGGAAGGAAGTCTATTGACTGCTGCGGATTAGACAGAGGTGATAGTGTTGGGTTAGGGATCATCAGTTAGGAACAAATCTCATGTCTGTATAGTTTTTGGCAAATTTGGTGGGATTGGATTGCAATGGGGAAAAATGAGTCCCATGTTAATTTGTAATTAATTTTTTAACATTGCTCTTTTTTTTTTTAGTTTTGAAATTTTCCAAAAAGTAGACCTTAGTGCAATACCCCCAACTTCGAATATGTCTTCCTTTCAAGAAGCCTTTGTGGGTCTGCAGAAATTAATGAGCACAGTGAATGAAATTCTTGCTGGTATTCAGCAGTGAGTATCCATGAATTGAATAGCGTGTGTGTGTGTCTCTGATATAACCTAGTGTTTTCTCAGCCATTTGAAAAAACAGGAATAGCCACAAGAGAGCAGTAACTGATTACATAATGAATGTGAAGCAACAGTGAGGATTTTTAGAATTCTCTAGATTCTAGAGACAATAGCCAAGGGCCTTAGGTTGCCCATTTTTGATACAGTGACACTAACATCTCATAAGGCAAGATGTTATATGACAGGGCCGCTAAACATACGTTTTACATATCAAGTTGAATAGCACGTGATGTATCCTGTACTTGTTCTCTTGACTCTACTTATTTTCTGTACTTACTGCCATGCAAACATGCTACGTGATTCTGGGATTCATATACAGGCTCCAGGAATGTATTCTTGAGATGGGGAATCCTGGGAAACTGAGAAACCTGGTTCACTGCTATTAAATATCACAGGAATACATTCACTTCAGTTAGAAAGCTGATCAGACTTAGACAATGAGTGATGTTCCTGTAAATCTTGCCAAGCTGCATGTGTG